TCAGCCAGAATTTTCACCCAGCTTAGTTCTGAACTGCCCAACAAATTCTGCTTCTCTTCTGCATTTTGACAATGGAAATATACAATGGATTCTTTTAAAAGTAATGGTTACTTTTGTAATGTGATTTGTATTAAATAAATATATAAAATAAGAATCATTGTGCATGATTCATAAAGTGTCATACAAGTACTTAATAAAAGTGCTTGTTATACTGACTTTTACACTCACATTTTCTACCTTCAGGAGAAGCCATGGGGTGTGTCGTAACAAAAACCAGTGAATTCAATAGAAGATTCGATAAAGGTAAAATGTTTACAATAACATTTATATGAATGGCTAGTGTAAGTCAAAGAATGTATGTATGTGTGAGTTCTGTTTATTCAGAGACTATTTAGTGTGAATATAACTTACTTGACCTAAATGACTTCTTAAAACAGATGGAAATGCCATCCCAGGTGAGTTTTAACCAGTCCAGCAAAGCTTGTGTAAAACCTTATTTATCTCTCCTAGCTATTCAATTAGAACACCGTTGTCAATTATTTACGTGCAATGTCAATATATAAGTAACTCGTTAACTTTCTCAACATGTCTTCTTTTTCATGCATGTCTGCAGCGGCCATAAGTAAGCAAAACTCATCTTTTAAGACTTACAGTACACTGTAAATAAAACAGTCTAACTTATAAGAGAAAGAAAACAGTCTACTATTTGTCTTTTTACTTAAAATTCCATGGTTAACTAAATGTGTTAACTGCTGTTTCTTTGTAATTATTTGTGAAATTTACTAGAATTTTTTTTTTAAACTAAACTTACACCATTTTTTTAGTGTATAAATAATAATTCAATTCAATTCAAGTTTATTCGTATAGCACTTTTCACGATACAAATCGTTGCAAAGCAACTTTACAGCAAATTATGTTTCTATGATATTTAGTGGTAGCTTATCAGTGGTGCCTGTCAGTTAATGTACATATGGCAGAAATGTATGGAAAAAATCAATTAAAGACTGTGTTGAGAGAGGGCGGGCCGAGAGCCGTGGGAACGGAGCGAGGCCGGTGGAGTAAATGCTAATACACGACACCTGCACCACTCACCGGTCTCGAGTCCCACGGAGGAGCTCCGGAAGGATAAAAGGAGGAGTGACGACAGTGTTGGACGAGAGAGGACCAGGCCTGGACTTTATTTTCACTTCACTTCTATGTTTTGTGTGTGGCAGTCGTCCGCGAGGGGCTGCTGCTTTCCTTTCGTTTGGTGTTTGTTTATTTTATTAAATTCTTTAACTGTTAAAAAAAACAAAACCAATGTAACAAGGTTCGTAGATCGGGAAGAAGGAGGCGGGAACCGGCTGACATTTTAACTATTTCTAGTAAATTTCACAAATAATTACAAAGAAACAGCAGTTAACACATTTAGTTAACCATGGAATTTTAAGTAAAAAGACAAATAGTAGACTGTTTTCTTTCTCTTATAAGTTAGACTGTTTTATTTACAGTGTACTGTAAGTCTTAAAAGATGAGTTTTGCTTACTTATGGCCGCTGCAGACATGCATGAAAAAGAAGACATGTTGAGAAAGTTAACGAGTTACTTATATATTGACATTGCACGTAAATAATTGACAACGGTGTTCTAATTGAATAGCTAGGAGAGATAAATAAGGTTTTACACAAGCTTTGCTGGACTGGTTAAAACTCACCTGGGATGGCATTTCCATCTGTTTTAAGAAGTCATTTAGGTCAAGTAAGTTATATTCACACTAAATAGTCTCTGAATAAACAGAACTCACACATACATACATTCTTTGACTTACACTAGCCATTCATATAAATGTTATTGTAAACATTTTACCTTTATCGAATCTTCTATTGAATTCACTGGTTTTTGTTACGACACACCCCATGGCTTCTCCTGAAGGTAGAAAATGTGAGTGTAAAAGTCAGTATAACAAGCACTTTTATTAAGTACTTGTATGACACTTTATGAATCATGCACAATGATTCTTATTTTATATATTTATTTAATACAAATCACATTACAAAAGTAACCATTACTTTTAAAAGAATCCATTGTACATTTCCATTGTCAAAATGCAGAAGAGAAGCAGAATTTGTTGGGCAGTTCAGAACTAAGCTGGGTGAAAATTCTGGCTGAGTTGATCAAGAAAACGGCTCATTCCATCACACACACATCTGTGAACAGAAAGGAAAGACCATTAACTGTATTTATGAAGAAAATCTGAAAAAGATAATGTCATTAAGACAGAACAGTCACAGTTCCTTCACTAATGATTGCAAGAGACAGAAGTTTCCAAAGCATAGAAAATACATCCGACCTAGTTATTCACACCAATTCCTGTGCTTGCTCCTTGCAACAGCTGACAGACTGATGTCAACTGAGTGTGGCAAAATCCCTTAATGCCAAAATGATATTAGAGAAGCTATAGCAACCTCTTACATTAGGACAGAAATGTTGTTTCATTCAACAAAAACACTTATGTTACCAAACCAGACAATTAGACTTCATGAAAGGTTACCACATGACATGATGGTGGGGATCATATGTAAAGTGAATCTTGAGCAGCATATGTTTTATGTAAATATGTTTTACAGGTGTATTTTAGGTTAAGTAGTGTTATGGCTTGTTCTTACATCTCTGACAACTGTTGTGTACTTCTCAGGAGTGCCGGCACTCATGACGGTTGTATAAACGGTGATCCTGGAAGGAAGATCATACTCGCATTAAAAAACTGTATTACAGAAAGTGAGCTGAAGACACCTCTTTCACAAACACTTAACCACCCCAAAATCTTAAAATAATGCACACACATCAGTGTTCAAACTGTACTAAAGCTCTTGGGGGTCCCATGTTTTTCAATATATTAAATTGCAGTAATGTAACATTACCATTCAAATGAAACCAGTACCAACAAAAACATTTATGCACTGGAGAGGTGGCAAAGATGAAATAGTTGTTAAGGAAATAGAACAAAATAGACAATATTGTTTCTAAAATATTGGTCACTTCAAATTAGTTTCTTGTTTACAGGACAGTTGTATAAAGCCAATATCACATTTACATTCATGCTGATTTTGAGGAAAAATAGTACTCGGATACATAAATAGATATATAGATGAGTTAAGAATCATTGTTGACTTGTTGGGTGCCAGACATGAAAGATGGTGAGAGTTCAACAGAGATCAATGCTTGCTTGGACTGTTCTGATTTACAGCTGAGTGGCTTAAACAATTGAGTCTCTGTGAAGCTGTAAGTGTGAATAGTAGTGTGAAAAGTCTTCACATGACTGCTTTCTGCAAACTCTCCAGGAAAATTCTAAATTCTGCACTGCATGGTTAGATTCTAATATTATAACTTCAATGAGGAAGTAGGATTAGATTTGTACTACTGGTTACCATATACGAGAAATGAGCACTCTATATGAGGCCGTTACACAACCATAAAATATCATGTGATAGGTGAAATGCTGCATTACTGTCCTCCTTACCAATTACATACTGGATTCATGGATAAAACCTGTAAGAATGAAAATGAATTAGTCAATAAATTATGTAATAGGAGTGCATGCTTTCTCAAACACAAGGGAAATCTCATTAAAGAAAAACCTTCAGTCCTTTTTTAATATCCAAATCCAGAAACTACTTGTATACTGAAAACATTAAAAATTACGATAATACGATACATTTTGTAGTACATTAACAATGTGGGACAGAAATAAATGCCATAATCTATGACAATAATAGGCAGCCAAAATGGCTTTGTTCATATACCTTATACAGAGAATCCATACTAATATGGTTTTGACCAGTGGCATTCAATGCTTTCATGGCCACGTCTCTGTAAAAAAGACTAGGAGATGTTAAAAACAATCCCTAATTTTTTCAGTTAAATAATCACACATTTGTGCTCTCATGTTATTTATAAAAAATGTATTGTGTGCTTGCCTTCGGTCATCCTGTTTAGGGGCGGGAAGCCAGTGGTCATAATTGGTTTCAACTCTATACCAGCTCAAATAAGCAACAGTAAAAATCACAGGTTTAGTAATATAAAAACCTTCAGGAAAATACTAGCATTATATGAATGAGAGCCTATTGTTGCATTGTCATCACTTTTTGTCTTTCATTACAACATTTTAATTTTTGTCATTTAAAAATGATGGTTTGTGCGTACTTTCCATTAAGTGGATCCAGAGGCCAGATGTCAGCTGACCCGCTCCGGTCTCTGGTGATGACCACACCCTCACCAGCATGAACACCCCCCAAAATGTAATAGACATCTGTGATGATCGGCACCTTGGCCAGTCTCACTACTGCATCCTGGAAGTCCACAGCTGCTTCAAGAGTCTAAAGAGAATCAGAAATATACAGATTTATTTCATGCAAAAGTCTCTTAACAGCCAAATAGTAATTATTGCACCAGTAAGTAAATGTACTTTGATATACTGAATTATATTTTGAATTTGATATACATTTGTTCTCTCACCTCTCGCACTAACCAGCTAACTGGAGAACTTTTTAATAAAACTGCTGAAATTACATTCTCCCACCAATGTCCCTTATCTGTAGAAATATAGATGTAAATTAAAACCACACAAAATCCACTAGACAATCTCTTTTTAAAAATCAACCTACTGCATTCGTTGCCAGACTCTGTAAACTTGTTGGGGCTTTGTCCTGTCCACAGCCCAACATAACCAGCAAAACTGTTCCTCTGTATGCCACCTGGAGAGAAACTTCTTTCAGATTCAAGAGTATAATGTAATGTAATATAGTATTATATAATAATCACTATTACCTTTCCATTTTTAATAAAAAGTACGTCTAGAGTAAGATTTCTGAGCACACCGTGGGGATAATCCAGGTTTCTGCCATGGTAAATATTGCCCTTTGAATCTTGAGTTACAATACTGGTGCAAAAGCTGAAAAAAGCAATGCAGCCACAATGAATGTTGAAAAAAGTTGACAACTAAAACACTTCAAGAGAGGTACTGTACCAAAAAGTGTAGAAGAACAGTCAACAGCTATACTTACGCAGATACTTCATAGGCAAAGTTCAACAGCACAATATCTACAATGTCAGTGCCATAGAAGGATGCCCTGTATTTCTCCAGCATAGGGCTGTGGGATATATTTCTCCAGAGCCTTCACTATAGGTTTAACTACTTCATGAACCCATTTGGGAACAGTTGAGCAGCAAAAGAGGGTGTTTAATATGGAGCCAGATCAGTCTCAAAAATAATACATTTACAAAATAAAATTCGTAAATGTGCTGTGGATCAGTGATGACAAACAATGACTAAATGTAGATTTACAAAGTTCAAGAACATGATTTATTAAAAAAAGATGGGGGTTATCAGCAGCGCTTAATTTTTTTATCACGTGCATTGTAAACTTAAACATTTGGTGATATTTTGTGATTTTGATTACAAATTCTGCGTGTAAACTTTTTAAACTTGTCATCAAGGTAAAACTAATAGCTAACATGGTTCTGGCCAAAATTGCAAGAATGCAAAGCAACATTTTCTCGTAATGTGCGCTCGGTGATCAGACTGTCTGATACTTACTCGATCACTTCAGATGCAGCTTTTCTCAAGAAATCGATGTCATAGAGGTTCTTCAGAGGAGCCCATCACTGAAAGGCAGGCGCGTCCAGACTGATGTTTACCACTGGAGGAGAGAAATCAGCTGTCGACACGCAGAAAGCTGTCATGCCGAGAAACACACAAATCTGTAGCTTCATGGTGAATACTGAACACTAACTGTCCTTGTGATGGTGACATTTGAATATGCGAAACCGAAGACTTCTTCACACTCTTCCCAACTTCTGTATTTGAAAACAAGGAACTGATTGTTGTGGCAGTAACACATTAACCACCAGGGGGAGTGGTGTCCACCGTCCACGCACACTTTTGCACTTAACTAAAGTCCCTCGGTGTGAAATCAAATACAAGTGCTTCACGCTTAAAGCTTTGCTGTCAGTGTCAATAAAGGTTGTGTTAATCATGAAGCTTGGTCCGTCCGATTAATGTGTCCAAATACTGGAATCATTTCGGACTACAATGCAATACAATTCGCCTTGATTAGGCTAGGTCGGTGTACAGTATATTTGAAGACATTGGTTCCCAATTTACAGATTTCTGTGGTCGCAGACTGAGAGTGCAAAACAACACATAATGATGTGCAGACATTTGTCCTCACTTCTTTATTCAGACTTTATGCGCGTTTTTAGCATGCTGACTCATTCAGTAAAGTCTAAAAACTAAAAGAAAAACTTATAGGAAAAATAAAAACATTAAACATACAGAAGACTATAATTTGCCATGGGTTCCCTCGAGATGTTCCTATGAGTTTTTATATAGGGGTTTTCAATTCATGAGTAAAATACGGTCCGTGGTACGGTCATAACTTGACGATGGGCGTTTTGTTGTAGAACGTAAACTGCACACGAGTTACATACACACCGTTAGTTACTGCTTACAAACACGTTTATTTCAAATAAAATAAATAATAATAAGCATAACTGCTTTTACGTTTAATGAAAGTTACAACATACAATAAAAATCTATTTTTGCTGCAGCTTTCATTTTTAAAACATTGTTTTGAAAGAAAGCATTTTGAAAATGTTTCAAAGAATAACATTTTATTATGATGTCATGTATTAATAATGTATGATGTATGTAGCTTTTTTTTTTTTAGAGAAACATGCGTTTGGACCTGATGGGATGCAAATACTCGCAATACGCATGCGCACTCGTGTCCACATGTGTGAAAGTTAATATGCATGCATGGCTTTACTGTTGCGTTGCCACCCACACCCGCAGGATCGATTTTAGAGTGAGTTTGGTTGTTGTTAGGAATATATTTACTGATATATGTTTTTTTTTTGCGATTCATGTAGGATGAACATGGGCTTGCTTGCACACCATGCTGCTGATCATCACACTGCATTGACACAGTGCGCTAGATGACATGCGTTATGTCTGTGTTGACGACAGGATTAAGTGCTTCATTTGGTGATGCTCACATGCTTCAGATCTTTTACAAATATCTTCCCTAGGCTAAAAACACACTTTCGGTTTGAATGTGTCCGCAGAGGCATTATGTTGTCGTCGTTGAGGAGGAGTCGTGCAACAACAAATGTCATTTCCGGACATTTGGTAAGCAGGTTATATCACAAGCAGAAGATAGTTCAAACTAAACTTTTCGCGACGTTATACGCACATTCCTGTAAGAAACCCTATTCATATTTTAGCCCTTTCTCTGGGGTTTTATGCAAACGATTGTGACTATGTTATGGCAGCACATTTTCTTGTTTAGCAGGAGTAGAAGATTAATCATGAAGATTGCAGTAGTTGGCGCGACTGGTCAGACCGGGCAGCAGCTGCTGAATCAGGCTCTGCAGCAAGGACACTCAGTCACTGCCCTCGTCAGAAACCCGGGGAAACTGACGGTAACGCACGAGAACCTCAAGGTAAATATTAACAGGGAAGTTTATGCTCCAAGTCATATATTGTTAATCTTTTTGAAAATGCATGGTGAAATTATGAGATACTTAAATTTATACTGTTACATTGTACATGAATTTGCTCGCAGGTGTAATGGGTCGGACTGCAGATTCACAATAACATAGGTTATGCATCTAAATTCATTCTTCCAAGGTCCTTCATGACAAAATGAAATTTTTTTTTTTTTTGAAGTACGAGTATAATAGTCTGAGCTATTCATTGGCTCTTATTTTCTTTCTTATCTAGTTGACTCAAGTCTGCACAATGCTTAAATTAGTTATTTAGTTTAGGATTGCCCTTACCAAAAAGTAGTATACTTCAAGTTTATTTTAGCAAGTATACTTAAGTAAAGTTGAAGTATACTTTATGTAGTAAGTATACAAATATCAGTGTACTAGTAGTATACTTGTAAGTGTACTATTTCAATACTTCTTGGGACTAAATTGGCCCACTTTCTAGTATATATCAGTATACTTTAAGTATAACAGTAGTAAACTTTGAGTACACAACTAGTTTACATCAAAATGTTTAGTTTGTACTGCAACTATACTAAAAGTGAACTTATAGGTATACTGATAGTTTACTAATTAAATACTTGTAGTAGCATTTTTAGTACACTTTGAATGATAGTCTCAGTAAAGTACTAGTTTAGTAGTTTTATACTGCAAGTATACTCGTAAGTTTTCTTTTAGTGAACTTTACATCATACTTTAAGTATACTACTATGTCCCTATTTAGGTATTCATTTGTATATATTTTGTTACATGAATATCTGAACATACAAAACATCAAAAGAACAGGGTATCTGCTTGTAAACAAAAACATTTTATTCTAGCTTCATGCATTCTTTTTTTAAACACTTGAATGTGGATAAGTTTCATAAATAAAAATAAAGAAGAAAAAAAAGACTGAATTGGATTCAGAATGATAATCAAAACGTAGATAAAGTCGATCAACACCCCAAAGCTTGACAGTTATTATTACCTCTTCAATGGTCTACATTTTATTCCATAATGTTACACAGTTTTGATACTGTTTTATGTCTGATGATCGTGTTAGATTACATGTGGAAGCATCTGTTGTTTCGGTTTCTTCTTCACTTGTGATTTTTGGAAATTCTGTACAGAAGATGTGTACTAGCACCCCCTACCGTATAACAATGAAAACACGGATTCTAGGAGCACAATTATAGCTAAAATATATTTAGACTTTTTCTAAGTATAAGTCAAGTATACTTAAATGTCATTTTAAGTATATTTCTGAGAAGTACATAAAACCCATTTCTGAGAAGTACATACAAAGTAGACTAAAAGTATACGTTCCTATTTTTAGTTTAAAAAAAGTATAGTAATAGCACACTTGAATAAACGTATTTTTCGTAAGGGTAGAATAAAATGAAAGAGTTCTTAATCACCAAGGTGAAAATGTTAACGTTTTAATGCATAACTTATATGCAAGTTTTTGTTTTATCCTTTATTTGAGTTGTTATATGAGTTTTTGTACAGTGTCACCAAGGAAGACGGCTAAAATTTAGCATAACGGTCACAAGGGTGGCATAAAATCTTAATGTGTTTCATTTATGGGCTGATATCATCACATGATTTGCTTGCCCCACATTTTTGTGCAGGAAGTAAAGATTTTGAAGGACAGTTATACAGTTACAGTAATGCCAAATAATGATATGTGGCAGTGCAATGTAGATAATGTTTAATGTGTTCCAGTTGTAAGCTTTTGTGCGTTATGGAAGAAAGAAACACACTGATGCAGGTCACCATCAACGAATGTATTAGTGTTAAAGGAAGGTGCAACAAAACCCTAGCTAGTACAATGTGTTTTTCCCAGCATATTCACATGAGTTCAGGGGCAGAGGAAACCCCGAATCGGGTCTTAAAGGGACAAACACCCAGATCATTACACAGTCCAGATGATGCACATTTTATCTCTTAGATTTTCAGTATTCACTTAGTAGCCACCACTAGAATGCAGCCTCATAACCTTGTACTGTTTAACCGCATGCCTTCGTGTGATAGGTGGTTGAAGCAGACATTTTCTCAGAAGACAGCCTGAAACTGCACTTCAAAGGTCAGGATGCTGTGTTGTCCTGTCTTGGCTTTCCAATCTCATTTTTTTATGGAGTCACTGGCTACACTCAGTCTATGAAGGCAGCATTAAATGCTATGCGTGAAGTCAAAGTCAATCGAATCATCACCATGACCTCATGGTACACTGACCGTAAGTGCTGTTATTATGGATAGGCATACAAAATCGAAAGGTCTTTACCTCACAGTATTTTTGGTCTCATCATTTGTCTGGTGTAGTAATTGGATTGCTATGCCACTCTTCACAGCAAATTCAGGCTCCAATTCTTCCTTTCTCATCCGCTTCATGTTGCTTCCCATGATCAGAAGTGTTCTGAACAACATGTATGAAATGGAAAGCTTTCTTAAGCAGACTGACGACATCAACTGGACTGTTGTCCGGCCGCCTGGTCTCAAGAATACACCAACAACAGGTGAGATTTATTAATAAAACATCCGATTAAATTTTAATACATATTTTATTTTTTTCATATTAGGTAAAATATAATACATTTGAGTGCTTATGCAAAATGCTTAATAACAAATAAATCATTATTGGAAGTTTGCTTTTGCTGCAAAGCCATATAGATTACCACAAATTTGTGGTAATTTGTCTTGTTGTTTTCAAAGCCAATGAGTTCCTCACTCATGAGGGTTATTATGTCCCTGATGAAAATGGTCTGCCAATCGGCCAGTCTGTGTCAAGAGGAGATGTGGCTCGTTTCATGCTCTCTCTACTCAATAACAATGCTTGGATGAAGAAAGCTGTTGCCATCATCACCAAATGAGTTTGCACTTCACTTTTATCATTACATTTATATCATTTGCCAAAGAGCATTTAATTGTTTCATTCAAATTGATAAAACATTTTACATTTGAACTTACAGTACTTATTCAGTACGTCTGGCTTTATGTCACACACAGCAGTTTGCAAAGATGGTCAGACTAGCAAATAATATCCTACTAAAATGTTTGCCATATACATATATTTTTCATTACTACTTTAGTTTTAAAAGGATTTTAAGAGGTTTCACAATAACAAAGAAAGAAAATATAATTCATAAAACCTTTTGTTGCCCATTGTTTGGGACATTTTGTGATGGGTATTGAAATGAAAATTAAGAGCAAAGAAATGGCAATTAGCTGCATGTGCTCTTTTCTTCTTAGATATACTGTATATGAAATGTGAAGTTAAATGTAAACAGCCGTAGTTTGAACAAGGAGACTTACTAATTTATAATCATTATTAGTTTACTAATATCGAGCCTTCATGCATATTTGCTTATGTTGATTTCCTGCATAACACAAAACACATCAATCCCTATCTCTTGTTGTGATGTCCTTTCCAACTTGTCTTATTAAGATTTTCCACAATATATTACTGACAAAACATTACAATCATCATTAGGAAACGTTTCTTGGCCTTCTAAGCTATAATCTTGTCTAACAGTATATTTTGCATGCACTTCAGAAGGTCTGTTGCTACTGATTTGTTTTTTTTTGTTTTTTACTTTTTTTTTAATATTATGTATTACATATCTATAGACTTTTTTACAATACACTATATTCAGATTTTACAGTTTATATGGATTATATGCAGTTGCACTACATGAATATGTGGATGTTCAGGTTTAAATTATAGCTATATTTGAATGTTAAATAGTATAATTTTGGCCTACCATTAAGCATATAGTTGTAATCTATGTATAAAAATGTAAAAATGCTTTAGAGCATTAGAGAGGACCTGTAGTTCCTTACACAAACCACTAGAAGGCTCTTCACTGTGCTAGAAGCCACTGGATGTACTGGCTTGCATTTGGTGAAACAGCCAGTTCAGCATGGACACAGAAATCCAAAACAAAAATTTTTGGAACCAATACTTGTTGAATGATGACCTTATCTGCCATTATTACTGGTTGTTTGTTGTTGAACAAGTGAATTAATTAAATTGTTCTTTAAGATGCAGTGTGCTATGAACTTTATGCAACTGGTGTGAATCGAGTGTCTTATGACCACATGAGCGCAGTGTTGCACTGGTTTTAATAAACCACTTGGATACCCTGCCTATACATTGAGAATATATGCCATCAAGTCCTACATTGTGTCATAAGTTGATGGAATAAATAATGGGCAATACAATTAAGAAAAGCTCTGTTTTTTTTTGTTTCTGTTATTCATATATTGACAATAAAGGTATGATTTAAAAAAAGCAGAGAAAGAAAAGCTTTTACATTTTAACAGAGCAGCCTGACTATTCTGCATTTCTGCAAAAGATTTACATTTTTGTTGCACGAAAGTAAAAAAAAAAAAAAACTTCTCACAATTCAGTTTTTTTTTTTACTCAGAGACAGTTTAAGAGAACTCTCAATTCTGACTTATTTCTCGAAATTGTGAGTTAATATCTCGCAATTCTGAGTTTGTCGCACAATTCAGAACTGTCGATTATTTTTACCATAGGAAAGTCATATATAAAAGGAACCAAACAAGTACGTACAAATGCATACTTTACTCGTGGAGCTCTAATGTATTATTTATTAATATATTCCAGCATATAATCTCCACTCTTATAAATATTCAATGTGCTGGGTGAAATTTGAACAGCAAGAGAACAAACAACTGTCACACGTTTCTTTACAGTTATGATGTAACTGTTTGAAGTACCAACAATACTCGGTATGCAAGCAACAGTATTATCCTGTACAATTCATGTGAGACTCAGTCTAAACCTATTTCTATTTAGACAAATTGACTTCATATGCCGGTTGTAACAACAGTAATACGCACAGTAATATCACTTACAACTCCAATTTCATAAATTGTACAGAAAATATAGAACCAGTTATAATGACAAATAGATCGATATAAAACGGATTAATTGCAACTTTGTAGAAGCCAATAAATCTATTGGTATAAAATAATGTAAAGTCTGACTTAGGCCAATGAGATGTGTTATAATAGTGAGGTCCATTGGAAGCCCTGGAGTGAGCAAAATACAGATTACTGATCAATGGCAAAAGAATATGATCCCAGTGTAGTCAGCCATTTAATTCCCACAGTTTCATTTGGGTTCTTCTGTTATTCACCATAAAATGTGTTTATATCTTCTTGATACATTTTACTGACAACAGGCCTTTTGAGCTTCATGGTTGGACCTGAGAAAAACAAAAAAATCCTTCACATTCACATCTAATAGATCCATCAGCCTGTTTACTATAATTATGCCTTTAGGAATGCGGTTAGGCAAATATATGTTCAGAATGTTCTGTAAAGACCTTTCATCAAAACATGTGAGACCTATTGACACAAATGCTTCTCATAGTTGTCTGTTACACTGACAGATACAAGTACTTTTGCAGCACTTTACAAAAATATAATAATCACGGACATCCATGCATTAGATTCAGTTTGTCAATAAACTCACTTGTTCTGTTTAATATCCTTGTCTATATAAAGAAATAACACTAACCAAGTTCTCCGCCAGATATGGAGAAGTCTTGTGGAAGGATGGTCCACTTCTGGACTCTCTGGGCATTGGATGTGGCTTTGGCATTTACGCGGTCTATGCCTTCCTGGATGACTTTGTAAATGGCTGGCTCTTTTTTGTTGATGATTTCTGAGACTTTGCTGGCAATTACACCATGTTGCCGACAAAACTCCACCACTAATGGGGTCAGTTCATCTGTGGGGTCTCCACTGTCATCAATGTTACACTAAAAAGAAAAGAAAATGAACAACATTCATTCTGAAAAATGACACATTAGCAAAGTTTTTTGGTGGTTTAAATGTTAACAATTTGGTGAAATGTGTACATTTAATGGTCTCATTAAAAGAATAGTTCACACAAAAATGAAAATATGTTTAAAAATACTCACCCTCGGGCCATCCAAGGTATAGGGGAGGTTGTTTCCTCATAGGAACAGATTTGGAGAAATTTAGCATTACATCACCAATGGATCTTCTGTGATCCTCAAGTGTAATGCTAAATTTCTCCAAATCCAAAATGAAGAAACAAGCTCCTGAGGGTGAGTGCATTTTCAATTTTCATTTTTTTGGTGAACTATTCTTTTAAGTAAATGTAGACTCACCTTGAGAGTGAGTAGCATAGAGAGAAACTTCTTTTTGTCTCCAACTAGCATGGCATTGCTGATGATTGACACCTCCTCCTTTAGGGCATCCTCAGTAGGGACGGGAGGTATATTTTCTCCACCAGCAGTAATGATTAATTCTGCAAGAATAAGGTGATTAGATATACACATGTATAAACTAATTTTTGGTTGTCACACTATATGCATTTATCTTAGATACATTTCTGCTCACAGTAATATGAGAGTTGTCCAAAGGTAGAGAGAGCAACAATCTACCAATTACCCAAAGAAATCTATACCAATCAGAGAATCACAGTGAGCAAATTGTACCAGAAGAGCTCTTTAGTGCCCGCTCTGCCATGAAGCACTGCAACTGACATACAACTGCAATTTAAGCACTGCAATTGCATATACAGTACATAATCAACAACTTTAAATCAATAGTTTTACATTTACCCATCATTTTCCTTTTGAATGTTTTGTTCACTCAAATATATTTTTCTTCAAATAAAAATTTGTAATGTTGTGATTCACTTCATTACTGGTTGGTTTGGGTTATGGCTTATAACTCTTTAACAAAGACTTTATTAACATCTCTATGGGAAAAAATCCTCTCAAACCAAATTTGCTAAGAAAGTGGGTGAGCACTATTGAACCCTTATTTTACAAATGTGAGAATCTTCACTTTAAAAACTATGTGTATTTCTACCTTTTATTCTGCCGGTGATGTACAGGAAGTCATCTTCGTCGTGTTTGCCCAGGTCTCCTGAGTGAAGCCACCCTTCTGCATCCAGTGCCTCCTCAGTCTTGTCTGGCATGTTCAGGTATCCCATAAACATATTCCTCCCCCAGAAACAGATCTCACCGTTCCCATCAGTATCCGGCTTGTCTAACTTAGTTTTGCAGCCAGTCAACACTTTACCACAACTGAAGGAGAACAAAACATGATAGAGCTTTTTTCAGACGTAACCAGTGACTTTCAACCAATAGTCATTCTTAGTGAATGTTTGAAGTCAGGTTCACACGAGTGGAGTTCATCACATTAACATGGACATTTTGGAGGAATGTGTCTAACTTTTTCGTGGTCTTGTTTGAAGAGTAAGGAGATTTTCACTCTTTCTTTTCCAGCTCATACACTGTGAAATAAATGGGCATTTTCTATAAAATCCTCTCAATTTATGGAGACTTTTGGCCTAAAGACTTTATTTGCTTTGGCTTTTGATTAATTCTGAATTTTGTGAATGATACTACTTTTTAGTGAAATCAGTTTTTAATATTATTTTAACAGTGACTACGTTTCCATGGACATCAGTAATCTAATTATTTACCTTATTCTGAATAAGACAATATTACGATTAAGGTGTTTACATGAGTTGCTTTTATAATATTCCTTTCATGTTCTCGTTTTACATAGATCGATTAATGGCACACGTCATTACGTCCCCACGTGACGCCATCCGCCGTCCCCTCCGGAATTTCACGTATAAACATATAGTTCGTCTTCATTATGATGCCATATACAGTTTTGGGTGTTTCATTTTTAATTTACTGAAAGCTTCAAGTGCAGTTAATTATTTGTATTAATTCTATACATGCAAACAGACAGCGTTGTTGAAGCCATTCTTTCGTTTGCCGTCAAACGGTTGACGACTGCTAAATGTAGACTCACCTTGAGAGTGAGTAGCATAGAGAGAAACTTCTTTTTGTCTCCAACTAGCATGGCATTGCTGATGATTGACACCTCCTCCTTTAGGGCATCCTCAGTAGGGACGGGAGGTATATTTTCTCCACCAGCAGTAATGATTAATTCTGCAAGAATAAGGTGATTAGATATACACATGTATAAATTAATTTTTGGTTGTCACACTATATGCATTTATCTTAGATACATTTCTGCTCACAGTAATATGAGAGTTGTCCAAAGGTAGAGAGAGCAACAATCTACCAATTACCCAAAGAAATCTATACCAATCAGAGAATCACAGTGAGCAAATTGTACCAGAAGAGCTCTTTAGTGCCCGCTCTGCCATGAAGCACTGCAACTGACATACAACTGCAATTTAAGCACTGCAATTGCATATACAGTACATAATCAACAACTTTAAATCAATAGTTTTACATTTACCCATCATTTTCCTTTTGAATGTTTTGTTCACTCAAATATATTTTTCTTCAAATAAAAATTTGTAATGTTGTGATTCACTTCATTACTGGTTGGTTTGGGTTATGGCTTATAACTCTTTAACAAAGACTTTATTAACATCTCTATGGGAAAAAATCCTCTCAAACCAAATTTGCTAAGAAAGTGGGTGAGCACTATTGAACCCTTATTTTACAAATGTGAGAATCTTCACTTTAAAAACTATGTGTATTTCTACCTTTTATTCTGCCGGTGATGTACAGGAAGTCATCTTCGTCGTGTTTGCCCAGGTCTCCTGAGTGAAGCCACCCTTCTGCATCCAGTGCCTCCTCAGTCTTGTCTGGCATGTTCAGGTATCCCATAAACATATTCCTCCCCCAGAAACAGATCTCACCGTTCCCATCAGTATCCGGCTTGTCTAACTTAGTTTTGCAGCCAGTCAACACTTTACCACAACTGAAGGAGAACAAAACATGATAGAGCTTTTTTCAGACGTAACCAGTGACTTTCAACCAATAGTCATTCTTAGTGAATGTTTGAAGTCAGGTTCACACGAGTGGAGTTCATCACATTAACATGGACATTTTGGAGGAATGTGTCTAACTTTTTCGTGGTCTTGTTTGAAGAGTAAGGAGATTTTCACTCTTTCTTTTCCAGCTCATACACTGAAATAAATTGGCATTTTCTATAAAATCCTCTCAATTTATGGAGACTTTTGGCCTAAAGACTTTATTTGCTTTGGCTTTTGATTAATTCTGAATTTTGTGAATGATACTACTTTTTAGTGAAATCTGTTTTTAATATTATTTTAACAGTGACTACTGTCCATGGACATCAGTAATCTAATTATTTACCTTATTCTGAATAAGACAATATTACGATTAAGGTGTTTACATGAGTTGC